GCTGATGTAAAAACAACACACTTTGTTCAAAGGATTAGCCAATAAAACATTGATTGATTGTTCATTGTTATCTAACTCTATGTTTTTTAAAAGAACCGTGGACATTATGAAAACAGTTGTCACGTGGGCTTTCTCAGATGACCTTTGAGACTTGACACCCATGTGAAACACCTCAAACAAACTAAAAGATCAGTTGAGAAACGAACATGGGTTATAATTTCCTGAAAAGCTATATATATTTCAAAATATTTGATTGTTACAGAGACATGACATCGAATAGGTTTATTTGTACAGCTGCAAACGTATGGGATATTGTTCTTTTACGTGGATATTCACGGATACATTCCTTGAACAAGGTAGCTGCCTAAATTTATATGTATAACATTGGTAGGTATTTATGATAGTTGCATTTTGTTTTCATTCATTTGCTGTTGCATTGAATAGAGTCATTCTTTTTCCACTACGTTTTCGTTGGAAGTTTTTCGATGTGAGACAGAGGTTGTTTTCACATGCCTTTTTGTTTGTATGGGTGTATGTGTTACAGTCAATGTGTAAAATTTGATTCACAATTTATAAAATGTCTAAATATTTCAGCAATTTTCAAATTGACTGAAACATCTGTCCATTTGTTTAACAGATTGACTAACAAGTATTAAGTGGTTCAAAAGGGTTGAAAACATCACAATAGATAGCCAAAACTATAGAAATGCACTTTGAATTTCGATTTCCTTTAATCCTATCATTTTCAGTCACTGGGTGATGAAAGTAAAGCATAAATATGTTTGGAATTCATTATCATAATAACAGAAATGAACAGATGTTTCAGACATTGTGTACAAAAACTGAATATTTAGGCATTTAATAAATTGCCTAAGTGAAAATGTTACATATTTTGACTATAAAATATACACATTGCTCAGGTGAAATATTTTCTTTGTGTTGCAAGTCAAAATATTGTAAATGAAAATCGCACAATACCAAGCAAGTGACTCATCAAGACTTTTCACCATCACCCATGCAAAGATACCTACATGTGGTTATTATTTTCAAGACTAAACAGTATTTCAGTTTGTTGATCAATGTGACTATACGCCCTTACACAATCAATAAAAATGACAAATGCGCTTACGAATGGCGCAGCTCAGGTCGCGAACTAGTCTAGATTTCTGTTATATCATCCAGGTACTCACAGGGAAAAACAATAACAAAGGCAACAACCAGTCCCAGGGAATTGCTTTAGATCAGTGCCCCTTTAATACACAGTCACAAGCTGTGTTACTTGACAAACTTTTACTACCCATGTCAAACATTGTGATGACGAAAATTAAGTCTTCACATTTTTAAGTAAAGTTAACCTACTGAAATTTGAAACTGGCTAGTAACTTTTAGGGCTGGCTAGCCCACTTGGCCAGATATATTTTGAGACTGCAAACTGCATAGGGCACTATTTTATATGATTAGGTGTGCCCTTGGAATTAATGTGTGCCAAATTGAAGAATAATCTTGATCCATCATCAAACTTGGTATTTTTCGTTTCACCAAGGTTAGATCACTAGCTTGATATTATCTGCGTATTTGCGTAAAATATGCTTTAAATTAACTGAAATACGAAGACAAATCAAATCCTAGCGTATCAAATACCAACGAAACTATAAATCTATTCAAATAAAATTAATGCATATATTACAACTATTAGATAAAACTATTGCGTTTGTTGTATAAGCTTAATAATATCAGGGGGATAGAAACTAACATTTTTAGTCCACTAGTCCTTATAATGATAAAATATAGCCAAACCCTTACAAATGGCAAATTTCTACTAGTCCTTATGATTTATCTTCAAAAAAATTTAATGCAGGTAAACTACACATTTTTCTTTTTACAGCACAATTGTAAGGTGACAATTAATATTATTGAAAAAGGGTCAGTTTGCTTGATGTTTGACGTGTGAACGTTGTTTGCTTCAACTTGATCTGTCAATATTTGGATTGATATGAGAAATAATGTTATTATTGGTATTTTTGTGTTGAAAAAGACTTAAGGAAATGAATTATTGTGGTTGTAAACAGATATCAGTGGTAGAAACTAACAGTTTCTGTCCACTACTCCTTATTATGATAACAAATACCAAAACCCCTAAAAATGGCAAATTTCTACTGGTCCTTATGATACCTTTACTATTAGGCAGTTTGGCAAGGACTATAGGACTAGTGCCAATTTCTAATGCTGGATATTATGCTGGCTACGCTCTTGATTAATGGATGAATTATGTAGTTTTAGGTGGAGATGTTTTGTGTAAAAATTATTATATTGAAATACTTAAAATGTCTGTTGAAACAAGTGTGTTGAATATGGCCATTTTGTACAACAGCATCACTGTTTATGATAGTCAGGCCCTTTACTGTAAATATGTCTCTAATATGTTGCTCATCGGAATATTATGAGGCAAAATTTCCATACTTCTATGAACGCTTATACCTAGCTGTTGAAGAAAATACATTGATAAAAAAGGTTTTAAAAATCTATATGCATTAAGTGCTTTTATAGTGCAACACAGCTAATAAAACAACCTTTTTGCATAAATTATGTTTTTTATTTAGAGCGATTAAAGCTAGTGTCAAACGAACCCCGTAGAACAATTTCTATTGATAGCTAGATAACAACAGAAGTGGAAACTTGGCTGTCAAGTCCAGTCTTAAATCCACATCCTCCTGTCCAAGTGAGCTTCAAGCGAACAGGTGTGTTTTAATTAACACAGATAGTCCTCATTATTGAGGCAGTGTCCACCCCCTTTGTCCTCAAATTTCCTAAAAGATGCAACCTGATGGTCGTTATTCTCATCATCACTCTCCGCCTAGGGGAATGCAGCAGTCAAGCGCTCTCCGAATGGATTATGTTAACTTTTTAAACACGGGATCCCCTAGTTTCAATAGCAGTTTAAATCCCCCTTTAAACCCTCATCTCCAAATTTACAAAGGGTTTGCATGAAGGTACGCCAGTGTATTGAAATAATCTCAGCTTCATTTAGTTGCGGAGTCGAATCAATACCCCGGAGCCGCTCACGAGATCAGGAAACAGACTGTGAGGCTGGTATTGATTTTTAACCTCATGAACAGAAGAGCGGTGGGGACAGGAGCCTCGAGCTCATTAATTATTGATAAACTTACCTGTACGAAGACACCTATAAAAGCGGCCTTCTTTTTGGCAGTCAGAGTGTGAGTCTTGCTAGTAATGGGCTGAGGGGAGAGGCCAGCGGCTCGGTCATGTGCAACCACCGGTCATTGTCGTGCTGGGATAGGCCGGTGGAGCACAGCACATGTCTATTGTTACATGACATGTCTCTTTTTCGGACTGTAGACAACGGATAAGGACAATCGACAATTCTTTGTTGCAATCTGGCGATAGATGGGTACGAGGTACAGTTTTTGCTTTTTCTCTCAATTTTTCACATGGTGATTTATTTTGAAGTTTGATGAGTGACACTGTGCTGTTTCATAAAACGATGTGTTATTCAAACAGGTTGATAACCTGTTAGAATTAGAGGAGGAAATAGGGGAACATTTTCAGTTTCCTTGTGTGTCATGACTTGTCTCCAACTAAAATTATTCATGTCAGGATGTATTTCACTGTGTAATTCATCTACAGTGTTTTTGTGAAAATGTTTTCGAATTCTCTGATCTTGGCTTGGTGTTCCATTATTGTTCTGGAATTTGGAATATTAGACCAGTTCTACGACAAGTTGTGTGAATGTCTATTGATATTTTAATACTTAATTCTAATGACAATATCAATTGGTATTCCAGATTAACTCTAAATTTCCAACATTGAGCAATTTCAACATATGGCTTGATATTCATAATTGATTGAGTTCTGAATCTGTGTAATTTTGCACAATGTTTAATAATGTATGTTTGAGATTCATTTGTAATATTTGGTTACCATGTGAAAATTAATTTCTTTTCATCATTTTATTAGCATTGCTAATGAAACTGATTAAAAGAAACAACTTTTGTCTAGATAGAAATGCTAGAAAAATCAAGCACCACAGAAATTATAAGAATAATAAAATATTAAAAATAATTGTTCATGAAATTTATTTAAAAAAACAAACTGCGGTTAAATCATGATAATTATTGTAATAATTATTATCGAATGAATGTTCATTCCACATAGACATCCAATTATCAGTCATTACGAATTAACAACTATTTATGATGTCATAAATCTGTTATTAAGTCAAATTTCAAATTTCAAAATGTTTTTGTCTAATTTTTGACAGGCAGTGTGATTGTTCAATACCTCAACAACAAACACTAGCATTAGACACAGGAGTGGTGCGTGTACACGCACTGTTTGTGGAAGAGCTGGGAAGGATTGTCTCTCTCCCTGCTTAAACTATCAGCAAACCAACTGGCTATTAACCTCAGACAACTAACATTGTCATCAGAGCTACCAACATAATTAATGGGGCCTTTCTTTTCCGACATCTTAACATCTTGTCTTTATATGTAGTTCCTCTCAAGGCTTTGGTCTTAAGGTTTCTGTTTTTGTGATGTTTTGTTAGTGTATAATTGGCCAATTTTCATGCACTTGTTTGAGTAGACAGAAACTAAAATATGATTTGCACTGTCAAAGAGCCAGTCACGAAGCAATCATGTTAATCTTCTTAATCTTCTGAGTTTGAACATTTTTAATCTGTCTTTCGTATGTATCCCCAAATCATTTTGTGAAAAGTTTTTGTAAAATTATTTTGGTAAATGATTGAATTTTCGGAATAAATTCATCAAAACGACTTTTTTTAAACCTAGTCTTTGCATGTGTATAGACAATTATGGTGTAAATAAAAGCAAAAGAATCTATTAAAATCATGAGAAATGATCTCCAAATGTATGGAATGGTGGGGTGGGGGGTGGTGGTATTGCTGCAAGGTTATATGGAAAATGCCAACTGAAAAGTGATCAGAAATTGTTTTTTAAAGTTTATTTGTTTCTCTATTTCAGAGCTGCCTCTATTGCTGCCAGTGCAGGGGGGGCAGACTCCAAACGGCCCAAGTTTGTCATCTGGCCTGAATGGAATGACTCAGATGTCAATGGAGAAAAGTGGGTAAGTATACCCTATAATGGTAATGAAAATATGTATTGATTTATCAAATGAATATTTCAGTAACATTGAAGGACTATGACTTGCTAGTGTCTTGTTGAAGTCGCATGTTAAAATGTCTGACGATTTGTAATGCCTGTCGTCTTAATTCCTTAATGCCTTAATTAATACTTAATTCTCGTGATCCGGGTTGGAATAGGTCATCAGCAACCCATGCTTGTCATAAGAGGCAACAAATGGGAACAGGTGGTCAGGCTCGCTTGATGCAAGGCATGGTATCCCATTTGTGTAGATCGATGCTCATGATGTCAATCACTGGATTGTCTGGTCCAGACATCTTTCCAGACAGTCATGTAGCTTGAATATTGCTGAGTGAGGCTTTAAACAACAAACAAACAAATTTATTTCTGCATAATTTCATGGAGTTTTCCCATTTATCGAGAAAGATAAAAAAATTTCAATTTATTTCATTAGAACCTTATTTATTGTAAATATGCTTCAATCATTAACTGTGAGTTATAACAATCAAATTCTTTTTTCAATAATGACAGTACAACACACTGTCCTTAACTAACATGTCCATATCACTTTCTTCTGTAATCAGATAAATATTTCACAGATACTGTAACATCTTATTCTAAACAATTCAGATCTTGTATAGCCTTGTTTCAAAATGCTTTGAATCCATTATAGTGTCTCCCCTGATATTGTCAGACTATGACACAGAAAATATGACATTTATTGTCAGTGTCTGAAAGAATTAATTATGAAATGTGTCTTAATATTAATAGGAAATCAATTGTTTTTCTCACTGCAAATTGTTCATATTGAACTGAATAAGCTTTTAATATTACAGGTATAAAATTGATTACCATATTTGACGTAATAAGCGCCCCGCTCTAATAAGCGCCCACGGCGATATTTGCTAATATTTTGGCACGTGAACAATCGCAATAAGTCACCCCTTCCGATTGATCAATGTAAACAAGAATTATTCATTCGCATATAATATGCACTCCTGTGTTATATGCACCATTAATTATGGGCAATTAAATTCTGGAAAAAAATATATCTGCCGTACATAAACATTTCAGGCTGTCAGCATAAACCACGAAATTTATCTTTGAACTCTGTTTTTTTAACCAAAATAATATTTTAATAAGAGTTCCCCATTTTTAATTTTGAGAGCGCCCTGGGCGCTTATTACGCTGAATTGGTAAATAATATTTATTCTTTTTTTTTAAAAGACTGATTAAATATTTGTTGAAAGTGGATCTTATAACTTTCATGTGAACAATTTCAACAGAATCATAGTTTGGTTTCATATATTATTAAGCTTATAGGTAATACTATTTTCGCATTGTTTTATACCATCATGAATTATAAAAAGTTCAATTTTACACTTCTATTCTGTCTGTGAATAAACTCCCAACAGCAGAAGCCGGATGCAGCTGTGGGAGATGCAGTGATAAATCTTCAGTGATAATCACCTAAATGACCCGCAGACAGCAGAAGACTTGCACTCACCTGAATTATTTCATTTTGGTGAGGTAATATCCATAAATGTGTTTCCATGGAAACCATCAAAACAGTGAAACGGGATGATTAATTTTGTCATCCATTCTCAGATCTTAGCCTATCATTATTATTGACACATTTGCCTGTGCAAATAGGTAGAGAAACACCACACAGCGTTTGTCTATCCGCAGGAGCAATTTGGTGCCTTATTTTTCATACAGGCAATGTTGATCCCCGGGCTATAGATGTCGAAATCCACATCAGGATACCAAGGTCATTTGAAGGAGATTCAGCTCCTGGGGGTCTGATTAATATACAGGTGTAAAAGGTCTGTCATACGAAGGAGATCACAATGATAGTTTTGATCTTTTTATTGGGTAAATTTGTCTTCAATTGCCTTCAGTGAAAAGTATGGCCTGACTAGGAGTGTCTGATCTAGGGGCGTCATTTTGCTATATGGATGTATCGCTACCAAGAAAATATTTAAGCTGATTCAATACAAGTGTATGAATATCGATACTATATTAATGATTCACTGCCGCAGAAATATGTACAGTTATTAAGATTTTCTTGGTTAGATGGACAATCAGATGGCTGAAAATTCAATTTTTCACATTTATTGGATCAGCCTTGTTAATATTTAGCATTAAATTTATTATGCTAGGTAATTTTTGTCTTGATACATGTGCAGAAGAATTAATTTTATTTTGGTCAATATATCATGATATGTATACTTTTGAGTTGATATTAAGATTTCCAAAACAAGGTCATCCCTGGTATGAGCAGTAGAGAAATTGTTGAAAGTTTGAAGATAGACAGTTACATCAGGCAGTGGTGAATATTGCTATCCCTATTGGTATTTGAGACTAGGGGGCCCAAAATGTGTAACTTTTAACAATAGAACAATGACCGTGACCCTTCAGTTGACTTTATTCTTAATTTCAAACATTGGTTGAGCCATGTCCTCTCATTGTAATGCCTGTTAATTTGAAACAAAGAATTTCATTGTCTGGATTTATTAAGAAACTAGTATTTTTGAAAGAATTAATGGAACATGATGCATTTTCCATTTGGTAAAATACATATTTGTAAATTTGACATGCTGCTTAAAGGCTGGAACTTACTTTTTCCAGCAAAAAGACTCAATTTTTGTCACAAACACATATAGCATCTGAACAATCAGATGGTATTTTATAGTCAGCCCCAGAAGGATAATTGTAAAAATAATGTGAATTTCAACATACTATTTGCCTTATCTTGTGCATATTTGAGACCTTAAAACCTTTTTCTTATTGTTTGCTGAAAACTTAATCATGGAATCTAGAACTTGCAGAACTTATAGTGCACTTAAAAACTTGAACCAGTGTAAGCTTGAGCAATATATGTTTTGAGTATCAAATAAATTATTTTCAATATTATTTGATCTGATTTCAGGACAATGTGATTGAGTTGTGCTTGATTCAAAATTTATCAAATGCTTATTTCACCTTTCAGTTTGACAGAAAGGGGTTTAACTGATAAAGCCTTGATATATATATATGTACATGTCTTCAGAATTTGAACCTTTTTGCAGCAGTAAATGAGTGATTGAACATTATCATATTACAGTGGGTTAGACTTTAAAAAATACAGATTTTTTCAGCATTGCAATATGTCAATTATCTTTATCATAATATACAATCATATAAATGGTGCTGATGATATGGCAATTAATGTTGTAACATCTGTTGTATAATATACTGTTACATGAGTCTATGAAAATATTTAATGATGCTGTTACTGGTATGAGTAAAGCTAATTTTGTTTCCTGAATTTGTCTTTATAGTATTGCATTTTTCTTTACAAACTAAACCTTTGGTAGACATTAAATGATGGACTGCAGCCTCCAATTGAAGAAATAGAGGAGGTAATTTATTAAAATATATTTTCAACAAGAATGGCACAATGTAGAGTTTGGTTTGTAATAGAACGTGTTAGCAAGTCTAAGCATGGAAGTGGGACATTTGCATGATGAAACTGTCACCTGGTTACACCACTATATCTGATGACAAATACGCAGTGGGACTGACATTAAGAATTTATTTCTCACAACTGACGAATAATTTATCTTTTTATGTTGTCAAGTTAAAACGTCACTCTAGCACATGTTGTGCATGATTTATGACATGTTGACATTTAATTTCAGCCCACTTTATCAAAAGATATTGATTTGCATAAGGTGGAATAATTAGTAATGAGACTTAACACACTGTACCATTATAATTGCTGTGCGATCCTTATAGTAATTTGTTATTGACCAGATCCTCGTTCAAGGCTATGCAAAGTGATGCGGGTTAATGGGCTTGTTGTCTGTCCTCAGACTCTTCAAGCAGATTCCCATCTCATATTGACCGGTCCAGGTATTGACCAATGGTTATTGCTAAAGGGCCAGGTAAAACTAAAGCTCATCTTTTGGGTTTCCTTGACAACCCAAACCTCCATCTGGAGCAATAAATTACCTATTGTGGAACAAATCGCTAAGTCACTTTGACCAAGGTTAATCGAGCCCCTAGATAAATGTGGAGTATAGCGATGAGCGGAAATTGACAACCCAGAATAGATTCTGCAGTATTCTTGTACTTAGTGTCTTAGCTGCATGTAACTGATCGATGGCCTGTATTTTAGGAATAATATTTTTAGAGTTTTATTGCCGAGATGGTGATTAATCAATATCTAAAAATATGTAATGAAGAGAGTTTGGAAAGTATCTATTTTGAAAGGAAATTAGGAGATAGACATACTGTATTTTCAGTGTAGAGTTAGGTTACCTATAGATTTAACCCCGCTAAATTGAATTTGGAGCCGAATGCGGAGCGTGAGGTTTCAAATGTTAAATTTGGCGCGGTTAAATCTACAGGTAACCTAGCTCTACATTGAAAACACAGTATGTTTGTCACCATTCTACCATGACTAAATAAAACATGAACTCTTTAGTGTTAGCAAATATATTGAGTGATGCGGCTGAGCGGTTGAGTCCAGTGTTTTGTGTGGGTTATCGATCTGAATTACAAATTCACCGAAAACTAAATATGGCGCTGTATATACTCAAGCAGTTTGTTTACACCATAATACTTAACTTGAACATATGACACGCATTGAAAGCATTTAAGCACGGCAACTTGGTAAGCTAACATGAGGTGGGCATCCCTAAAGAAAACTGAGCAAGCTTTGCAAGGCTTTTGTTCTACATCGCACGTCACCATTATGAGGTCATATCGCTCATTGTGACGCAAAAGATATGACGTCACAGTTGTACAAAGAAAAGGGCCAAAATTCCAAGGTCTCTGTTGTCACCAAGATGTAAATACATTCCCTTTGTAGATTTCTATCGTGTTTTTCTGCACGAAATGTATTGCCACACATCCTTTGAATATTGTAATAACCGCATCTGTGCATTTTGTAACCTGTAATTGTAGATATAATTATTTAAATATGCCTACCGACAT